CTATGCTCAAGAATTGAGGGACAATAACCCAGGCTCTGATCTAGTTATAGATATCTCTAAAGATGCTTTGGCAGAAGGAAAAAGAAGATTTCTTAGAATGTATGTGTGCTTTCAAGCTTTGAAGAGTTGCTAGAAAGCTGGTTTGAGACCCCTAATAGATTTGGATGGCACATTTATGAAAGGGAAGTGCATGGGGATTCTATTGGTTGCTATGACTCAAGATTTAGTGAAACACTTTTATCCACTTGCTTGGGCAATGTGGATAGAGAAACATCTAGAGCATGTAAGTGGTTTATGGAGCTATTGAGATCTCCAATAGAGATGGGAGATGGTGAAGGAGTGATATTTACGTCAGATATGCAAAAGGTACTTATTATTTATATTATTCATTTCCACTATTAGTTTTACATTATGTATTAATAAACTTTCCATAATATTGCAGGGTTTACTGGATGTTGTGTTTACTGTGGTACCTAAATCATATCATAGATGGTGTGTTAGGCATCTTGAAGCTAATTGGAGCAAGAATTGAGGGCGTAGAGATGAAAAAATTGGTATGGTGATGTGCTTGGAGCATTTATTAAGAAGAATTCAAAGATTATTTGAAAAAAAAGGGTGATATCAATGAAAATGCTGCTAATGATCTCATATGGTACCCACCCCAAAATTGGTGTAGGCTTACTTTGATACCACATGAAAGATCTATATGGTTGATAACAACATTACATAATCATTCAACAAATGGATTTTTGAAGCTAGACAAAAACCTATTATTAAGATGTTAGAAGGTATTAGAGTGAAGGTAAATTTCTAAGAGCCTTTTACTTTATTGTTTCTAAAGTAGAATCATTCCCTTTTTTACTAATGTGGTACCACTGTTTGACTATGATTTTTTTCTTGTTTGGAAGGTCATGACTATGTTGGAAGATTGTGAAGAGGAATGTAGAACTTGGAGAGGAGAATTTAGTCCATATGTCATGGAGTTGCTGGATGATTTCACTCATAATGTATAAGGGTATGGAGTTGTTTTTAATGGAGACAATGGATATGAAGTTGTTGAAGGCACAGACAGACATACAGTCAATCTTCTACTAAAGAAGAGTATATATAGGACACGAGACTTATCAGGAATACCATGTCCTCACGCCATCAAAGCTTTAGATCATAACAAAGAAGATCCATTAAATGAAGTGCATTGATGGTATTTAAATGAAGCCTACATGTTGGTGTACATGCATAAACTACAACCAATAAGAGGTGATAAATTCTAAAAAAGTTGAGCCAGTACATGCAATGTATCCACTAGAAGTACACAGAATAGTTGGTAGGCCAAAAGTAAAGAGAAAAGGATGAGGCAAAGAAGAGAGAAGGAATTTGATCAGCTTCAAGAAAGGGGCTTGTGATGACATGTGGGCATTATGGCAATAGAGGTCACAACATTAGAAAGTGTCCTTTGGTAAGTATAATACTCTTCTTAACTACCTTAACAATCTTCTTACTGCTATCTCTCTGTCATAACCGTCTTCTTACTGCTATTGTAGGTTGGGGGTGTTCTCAAGATGTGCAAGATGTGCCTCCGATAGTACAACAGGACAGTCAAAATTCAAAGTATGTATTTAAGCCTAGTCCTGGACTGAGGGTGTTTACTAATCTAGTCCATGAAGTAACTCAAGCATTATCCTCTATTTTACCAGAAAACAAGCAGACAAAAAGGTATGTTGCACCTAAAGTCTGCAATCAACAGTCTGTTGTATCCCAAGGAACACTTCAATAGTCTGCTCCATGTTCAGATATTGTTGATGATGAAAGTAAATATGAAAATGGAGATGAAGATGATGAAGAGCCAATTCTGAGGCTTAAAGTTATATCTGAAGCTAAGACTAGCCTTCAACAAAAGAAGTTGTTGCCAAAACCGACCGGAACTAGAAGATCAACTTCAAAGGAGATGAGACTGGTGTGAATATACGTACCAACTTGCCATATTCATCAAAGAAAGTTACTTGGTAAGGCAAAGCATCAATGACCTCTAACCAGTTGGTGGCAGAAAATGAAAAAAGAGTTGGTAAACTAAAGGCTAAGTAGACCAAGTGTTAGGGAAGAGTATAATGACTGATTGTTTTCTTTTGTAATGACTGATTCAAGTACTAGTATTTTGCTGTTTTTTTTGTGAATCAGTTGGGAAAATTGTTGTATTGATTTACTCGAATTTTTTTTTTTTGTGCTTAATGTAGGGTGAAACACTATGTTGACAATTTATTTATGTTTATGGTTTGGTATTGTTTAGTTAGTTATAGATATGGTTTGGTGTTTATGGTTTGGTATTTAGTTATCTTTTGGTGGTATTTATGACAGAATAGTTTTAGTTATGTTTATGATTCAAGAAGTAGTGCAGACATTCAGTTATGATTTGGTATTTAAGAGTATGAACAATTTTGTTTGGATGAAGTGGCGAACAATCACAGTGCTATTCATATCTTTGTTGTCTCCCATTTTTAGCAACCAAACGACCTGTTAGTCCAAATAGTTTTATGATAGAGGGACTATTGTGTTAGCTTCAACACTAACAATTAACAAACCACTTCATGTTACATAAAAACTGCAGGACCATAAATTACTAAATAATTAACCAACACTACATGTTACATAAAAACTGCATATTACATTAACCACTTCAACACTAAGATTTAAAACTCCAACTATTATGGAGTAAATTACGTAAAAAATGTAGATTACATTAAACAATGTTAACACTAATATGCAAATTACCTAGAAACACTAATATGCAAATTACCTATTAACCAACATTAAAAACCAACGCAACAACAACTACTTGACATAAAGTCAAGTAGAAGTTGAAAGACACAGAATCTTCAAATACTTTTCAATTCATCATCTTCACCGCAACAAAAAACACAAAAGCAACCCATGACCATAACAGTAGCTTTCTCAATCGATTAACTTTTAATTCTAAATTGGAACCTTTTTTCTCCAAGGTAGATACTTTGTTCAAATATGCAACTTTGCTACGAACCATATCAGCCACAATCTGCTTCAATTTGTTCCTTTCCTGACAAAGGGCATCCGGTGAATTTTCTTGATTATGGATAAACATTGATACATGAAGTGTAAATTGTTCATCGTGCCATTCCCAATAACGACAACCGTTCTTATCAGAATGACAATATTTGTAGAATCTACGACCACCATTCATAGGTGTCGTAACAGTAAAATGGTTGGAAATTAATATGCAATAATTTATACGGGAATCATCTTGGTCAAGAGAAGAAGCGGAAGAAGATTCATACATTTTAACCAACAGAGAGTATAGTTATGAATGTAAATTCAAAAAGAAGAAACAAACTTGGGAGGTAGGAGATGAGAGATGGAGAATTTTAAGAACCCCAAATAAAAGAGGAAGAAGAAGACGATGCCAAGTCTTTAAAAGTTTGTTTAATGAATTCGTGGGGCGGGCTGGTCAGTAATGGGGCGGGTTACGGGTGGGGGAGGAGGGAGATTTGGGCTGGAGTTTAGGTTGGGCCAATAGAAATATAACACGTGGATTTTTTATTTATTTAATAGAAGGCTGTTAGAAATAAAGGCATAGTTGATCCAGCAGATAAACAATAAGTGCTTTTTATTTAAAAAGGTGGAATGAAGGCTTTATTGTACCAAATTCAATACTTTAGGGGTACTTTAGGCCCTTTTCCGTTCCAACTAATATAATCACCCCCTTTAGCTTTCGTTACATTGTCTCTCAAACAGAACCGAGAGAGTCCTAACCAGGCTTATTACAATTCTGAGTCGAGTTGATCTCAGTTGAGCTTCTACAATATCAGTCGAGCCAAGCTCGAGATGAGATCAACCAAGTTTTACTATACTGAACTCAAGCCAAATCCGAACCAACTATGTAATGTTTGCTTCTACATGTGCTACACCTTTAGGAAATATTACTTTCGTCATAAATTTATCAACAACAACAATAACATACTCAGTGTTCTACAAGTGAGGTCTAAGGAGGATAGTTTGTACGAATACTGTAACGACCCGGCCGATCGTTTTGAGAATTTATACCCCGACCCCCTATTAACTACTTTTCCCGTATTTTTTCTGCTATTGTAAGTTGCCGGGAGGATTCGTTTTGAGTTTCAAAGTATTTTGGGACACTTAGTCCCTAAATGAGAGCTTAAGCTTTAGAATTTGGACCGTAGTCAGAACAATGTGAAGACGGCATCGGAATAGAATTTTGTCAATTCCGTGAGCTATGTTGAGAGATTTCAGGCTTAGGGGCATGTTCCGATTGTGTTTTGGAGGTCCGTAGTCCCAAATGTAAATGTACATACGATATCTGGGGAGATCCTATCCGAAATTCAACCAAGCCTTCGGGGCTCCAAACCAACTCTACACACAAGTCTAAAAACCTCATACGAACTCACTCGCACAATCAAAACTCCAAAATAATTCCTAGAAATACGAATCGGACACCAAATCAAAGGAAATTTTCAAAAAAACTATAAAACTTCTATTTTCACAACCGAACGTCTGAATCATGGCAAACCAACTCCGTTTTTCACCAAATTTGATAGACAAGTCACAAATATAATAATGGACATGTACCAAGCTTTAGAACCAAAATACGGACCCGATATCAACAAGACCAAACATCAGTCAGTTCTTAAAAATCATTAAACTTTAAAACTTTCAATTTTCGACAAATATTAATAACTCGAGCAAGAGACCGCTGAATTCGATTTTGGGAATATGCCTAGGTCCCAAATTATGATACATACCTATCAGGACCGTCAAAATACAGATCCAGATCTGTTTGCCCAAAATGTTTAGCGAAGTCAACTCAAATAAATTTTTAAAGCAAAATTCCTATTTTGTCAGTTTTTATAGGACTTTGGCTCAAGAACTGCAAAATAAGAAGATAGAGCTTTGGCGTTAGACACATTCTTATAGCTAATATGTGATGAAACAGGATATGAGCAGTTAGCTTTTCCTTAAGGATTAGTAGCATATTCTTTTAGCCAGATAGGAGGTTTACTAGTTCTCCCAAATCTTCTAATAGGTGAAGTTTCTACCAAATGGTTATTGGCTATAGAGGTCTGATGAGTAGATAAATTATGATTAGGTTCAGCTAATAATTCTGGCTCAATCTCAGTAGCTGCTTGAGTGGATTGGACTAGACTGTGATGAGTTGGTAAAGTAGGAATATGAGATGATGTAGGAAAATGTTAGGATATAGAAGAATGTGTAAAAGGAGATATAGAGGTATCATTAGGTAATACACTTGAGGTATGTCAATTTCAGGTAACAAAGAAGGTAGAGAATCGGGATGTTGAAAAGGGAATAGATTTTCTTTGAACAGAACATCTCTACTTACTAAGAACTCCTTAGTATGGATGTTGCACATCCTGTATCCATTTTGAGCGATCGAGTAGCCAAGGAAAATAGCTGGTGAGGCTCTAGGTGAAAATTTGTCACCCCTTTTTACATCAGTCACATAAACTAGGCAACCAAATATCTCCACATGGTCCAAGGAAGAAGAATGACCAAACAATAGTTCAAAGGGAGTCTTTCCTTGCAACACTTGTGTTGGCAGTCTCTTAATGGTATAGACTGCAGTTGATACACATTCCATCAGAACCTCAGTGGAACACCTGCTTGAAACCTCAGTGCCCTAGCAACATTAAGCATATGTCTACGCCTCCTCTCAGCTACTCTATTTCGCTGTGGAGTATAGACACAAGAACTATGATGAACAATCCCTAGAGACTGCAGCAATTCTATCATCCATGAGTTAAAAAACTTACAATCATTATCTGTTCTAAAATATTTCACAGTACAAGAATAGACATTCTTAATCATAATAAAGAATTGTCTAATAACAATAATCACTTCATCTTTAAAGGGCAACAAGAAAATCCAGGTAAACCTGGAATGATCCTCCACTAGTGTGAGAAAGTACTTCTTCCGATCATGAGTAGGTATCCTATAGGGACCCCAAACATCAACTTGAACAAATGAAAACATGAAGTATCAAGAGAAGTACTAATAGGAAATGAGAGTGGTGTTTGCTTAGCAATAGGACAGACAATACATTACTTAGTTTCACTATTACACTTTAAATGTTAAAAACATCTTAGCTTTCTCAGAACATCAATTGGCACATGACCTAACCTCCTATGCCACAGAGATACATTTGATCTATCATCTTTTATTGTATTTACAAAGGATCTTCCAACATCTGACTTGTTTTTTTCTTCTCTACTTGCTTGGTATTTGTTACTTGATATGCAGATGCAAAGACCTTTATCCTCTTTACTAATACCCCCACTCTCCCATTGAGGAAATCCCGGAAAAGGCAAAAGTCAGGATAGAACAAAGCTGAGCACCTAAGCTCCTTTGTTAATTTTGAAATAGACAGAAGGTTATATTTGAAGTCTGGTATGTGTAACACATTGGTAATTTTTTGTCCTTGTAGCACACTTGTAGATCCTATATGCCTTACACTTGCTATTCTTTCTGTAGGCAGGTTTACTTTTCCAATACTGGATTCATCAACAGTCTTAGATTCTTCTAGATATTTAAGACTCTTTACAATGTGATTAGAAGCACTTATATCAACTATCCACCTAATCTCAACTTTGGTAACTATAGAGGGTGAGATCATACTTGCAGACATAACATTACTTGGTTGATCAACTTGGCTTATAGAGGTGATACTAGACTCTCCTAACAGATACAAAATCTGATTGTACTGATCAGCTGTAAACTGAGGTACTCCTGCAATTACACCTTGACCACCCTGACTGGTTGAAGTAAAGCTACTCTGCTGAGAATGTCCTGCACAATTAGCTATAGCCTCAAAACCTCCATTACTAGAACCAATACTAGTCTGAGCCCTTGTGTATTGAGAAACATTGTTAAGTTTAGTCTTCCTTTTTGGCTTGAAGTTTGAAGGGTATCCATGAAGCTTGTAGCAAGTATCTCTTGTGTGACCCTTGTAATTGCAATAGTCACAAAACAAATTATTTTTATTAGTCTTATAGCTAGTTGAAACTTGAGGAGTTCCTTTTCCACAAAATATAGCTATTTCCTCATTTACTGCAGAAGTTTGAGCAAAGTTAGTCATAGGTCTTCTACTCTCTTCTGCTATTATCATAGAATAGGCTTTGTTTATAGTTGGAGTAAGACTCATCATCATAATCTGGTTTCTAGATTGAGAATAAGTCTCATTCAGGCCCATCACTGCAACAACTTGTGATTGCCAAAATGTTCTACATATCTCTTCGACTCCTCATAGCCACAACCATGATAAGGCATGAGGGCGTCAAACTTTTCCCAAAGCTCCTTCAGCTTTGAGAAATACACTAACACGGATGAAATGCCCTAAGATAGAGTAGCAATTTGTCTATGTAGAAACAGAATTCTAGAACCATTTACTTTGTCAAAACTTTCTCTAAGATCAGCCCACACCTTCTGTGCACTAGATGTATACACCATGCCACTTAGCAACCCATTACTAACTGAGTTCATGATCTATGATAAAACAATGGCATTATATTTTTCCCACAATTCATGTAAAGAAGGGGAAAATTTATCCTTAGTGTATCTACCATCAACAAACCCTAACTTGCTCTTGCCAAGTAGACTGGCTCACATAGAACTACTCCATAGGGCATAATTCTCATGTCTAGTTAGCGTAATTGAGAAAAGAGAGTTACTTGGAGTACCGCATGGTTGAAGGAACAATGGATGATGTTGATCGATGACTACAAAAGCTGTGAATCCTTTTGGAAGTCCAGTGTTCAAATTAGTTGTGTCTGAACCCCTAGGTGAGTTGTTTTCCTCAATCTCGATTGATGATCGAATCAAACTTGGTGAATTGATTCATTAAAAACAAAGATTTTGATGTTCTAAGACAATTCTAACCCTAACTAGAATGAATTGATAACTAGAAGAACTGAAAGAAGGATTGAGCTGTATCAGCTAAGAAGTAATTCAATTGAGCTTGATAACTGTGAGAACGATGCAATTTGAATCAATTACGTCGGCTCCGATACCATGTTAAGAGATTGAGACCACCATAGTTGCAGAGAAGCTCAAGGAAGAAGGAAGAAAGAAAATGGAAATCTACTGTTCCATTGATTTTTGAATGAATAAGAAGAGGAGTATATACTTTGTTATATACACATCTAACCGACTACAACTTCCTTAACTTATAGCTGTCACTACATGATTGGATATTTGGCTAACTAACTAACTAACTCTAACTACCTACTTAACAAATGCCTATACGAATGTTAAATGCCATCAAACGTTTGTCATTATTGATAAAAAATTTTATCGTTAACAACTTTTTCAGTAAGACTACTGTTTGTTTTCTAGGACAATCACATTTTCGAGGACAAATTAAGTTACGTTCAACAAGATGGGATGAATTGTTATCCATATATTTTTTGTGACTAAGAAGTTGACTAGTTTGTCACTTAGTCGACTAAGATTAAATGCGAGATAAATAGTAAATACAGAAAGTAAAAAGTACAAAGTACATGACACCGAATATTTTTATACTAGTTCAGATTCAATGTGAATCCTAGTACAGTCCTCTTGGGTTGCAAGATGGTTCTCTCTTCATGTTCCTTGAAATTATTCGGTACAAGTTCCTTGATGTTGTCAAGCATACACCAATTTATTCTCAGAACACAAGTGACTTTCTATTATTTTGATACAAAGCCTCACTAGTAATTTTTTTCTCTTTCTTCTCTCTACTAATTACACAATATATCTACAATAGAATACAATGCTTGTTTGGAGTAGAACAAAAAGCTTGAAGTTGGTTTGATCAAAGTATGTCTTTTTGATCAAAGTTGGCTTGAAGTAGAACAATGCTTACTAGAGTAGATCTTCGAGAGATGGACATCTAAAGGAATTGATCCTTGGAGTGAATCTTAATTGATTCCTTCCAAGAAAAAGGTTGGAAATTTCCTATTGTTGATCCTTGAAATTAGGTGTGATAGATATGATTCCCTTGAATGGCATAACTGAGTGGCTTTGCAGATTTCCCATACAACGTGTTTGATATGATTGTCCTTGACATCGTGATTGGAGATCAAGAATATATTGTGATATTCCTTGATGCTCATGATTTAAAATCAAGAGTAGATTTTCCACTGAATTGATTCTACTATATTAGCCTTCCTTCTTTGGATAGCTTCCTAGATCCTTAGTTGGCTCATATTTCCTTTCTTGATTTTTCTGCTTCGCAACATCTACTTTAAGGAAATCCTTGATTTCCTGCAATGGAATAAGTTATTTTTCATCATTAAAACCAAGATCTAACAATCTCCTCCTTTTTATGATGACAAAAAATAACTTAATTAATTCTACTTCCCTGTTTATTCGATTATTACGACTCCCTCTCAACTTGTTAGCAGATCTTCTTGCTTGTAGTTGATTATTTATGAGTTGACTCCCCCTCAAGATGTTATCTATTCCTGCATAGAGACTTTGCCTGTGATGTAGTCGATCATCACCCCTGCATAGCAATTTAGTAATCCTTGTTGTAGTTCTTGCATAAGTTAGTAGTCCTTGAGCTTTAGGTAGTCGATCATCATCCCTATATAGCAGTTTAGTAATCCTTGGTGAAGTCCATGCATATGTTAGTAGTAATCATTTCTCCCGATTTGGCATCAATCAAAAAGAGGAAAAACACATAATAACATTAGCAGTTTATATTATCCTAATAATTACACTCATCCACAACAACAAAAATAAATAAACAACTAAACATCCAACCAAATATCCAAAAGAAATTTAAGATTGTCCATAGCATCCAACAACCAGATCAGCGATGGAGAAAGTAGGTAAGAGTGTTTCAAATGACTTACTTGAATACTTTTACTTCCTTTTTGTCATGACCCTAAAACTGACCCAGTTGTGATGGCGTCTATCGTGAAACTAGGCCAGTCGACACAATTCCCAATCGAACCATTATTCCATAAAAGTCATTTTAAGCCATTAATTAACAAAATACCTTACAATATAAGTTTAAATAAGCAGTGCGGAAATATAACACAAGCCCAACATCGAGGTCTCACCAGTCATGAGCAACTACAAACCCGTCTAAGAACAAGAAAGGCTAACATATTCCGAAAATAAAATACTAAGACAATCTGAGAAAGGTGAGAAGGAGAAGTGCAGGGCTGCGAATGCCAAGCAGCTACGTAGCCAACTCCGGAGACCTGCTGGAAGACTGATCAACACTCACTATCGCGTCCCGAGACTCCTAGATCTACACACAAAATGCAAGGAGTAATGTGAGTACACCAACTCAGTAAGTAATAAAAGTAAAAGCAACTAAGCAGTAAGAAAATAGGTAATTCTACGTCATAGCACTACACCAAAATAGTATATGTCCAAAGCAATACATAAAATAATTACCTCGTAAAAACAACTTAGTTTCAGTAAATCCCTTTTCTTTTAAAAACCTCTTTCAATAGTTTCAAACAAGTGGTGAAACAGTAAGTAAAAATGATAGAAACGTAAATAGCCCCTTGGGCAAAACATGCACCATAAACTGCCCCTCGGGACAAATATCAATAGAACCAGCCCCTCGGGCTACCTTACAGTCACTCGTAATCAACCGCTCAGGCAACAACATGAATCAACAACAGAACCTCGGGCTACATCACTCACACTGGGTACCCGCACTCACTGGGGGTATTCAGACTCCGGAGGGGCTCCTACAACCGAAGCGCTATCACAAGCCATCTCGTGGCATAATAAATCAGGCCCTCGGCCTCTCACATATCACAAATCAGTACAACCTGTCACGGCTCGCAACCTGATACCATTATATCCTCACAATACAGACCCTCGGCCTTACTCAGTCAGAACTCTCTAAAGCCCTTCGGGCTAACAATAAAATAAGTACTCGACTCAAAATATCATTTATGGAATCAAAGGAGTAAATAAAAACCGAGTTATGAAATCAATGAAAACATAACATGACCGAGTGTAAATATTAAACCAAAAATAGTGAGGAAACAGTAGTAAAAATCCCCTAAGGGTACAAACATTTGGCACAAGGCCCAAACACGACATTCACCCCCAAACATAGTAATACTTTCCAAATTACAATAATATCAAACAGTTTCCAATTAAATACGCGACTTAATAGTAGTACAGGATGGACCAAGTCACAATCCCAAATGGTGCACGACCCCACGCTCGTCAAGTTACCTCAAAGTAGTGAAACGATGTGAAATCTGGGATTTCATACCCTCAGGACAACATTTACAATTATTACTTACCTCAATCTGGTCCAAACTCTAGCCCGCGGTGCCCTTGCCCCTTGAATCGGCCTCCAAATGCTCCGAATCTAACCAAAACCAGATTCATGCCATCAATATAAGCTAAAGGAACAAGACCCACACAAAAATAATCAAATTACATCAAAAATCCCGAAATTGGCCAAACCCGACCTCGGGCCCACTTCTCGAAATTCGATAAAAATCACATCACAAGAATCATTATCCTCCCACGAGTCTATACATACCAAGAACATCAAAATCGGACCGCAAATGGCCCCTCAAATCCCCAATTGAAACTCTCCAATACCAAGCCCTAATTCTCCAATTTTAACCCTTAATCTTCAATAATTTCAAGAATAATCAGTAAGATAATGCCATAGAATCGAGTATTAGGTTCAAAAATCTTACCTCCAAGCGTTATCCCTTGAATCCCTCTTCAAATCCTCTCAAAAAGCTCTCAAACCGTCTAAAAAATGGTGGAACAAAGCTGAAATTCGCGAAGGTAGGTTTATTAGTTTCTACCGAGGCATTTCTGCACCTTCAGACAAATTACCGCATCTGCGGTTCGCAGCTGCGGACAAATCTCCACTTCTACGGATTTTCACTTATAAGCCCTCATCCGCACCTGCGGGCTCGTAGGTGCGCCTCAACTCCCGCTTCTGCGTTTCTCAACCGGATTTGCGGCCTTTCCTCTCTTCTGCAGTCATCGCACCTGCGGTCCCCTAATCGCAGGTGTGGTTATGACAGAACCAGCAGCTTCAGCTGCATTCTCCGACTTCCAAACTTTCTGATAACCATCCGAAATCATCCCGAGGCCCCCGGAACCTCATCCAAAAAAAAAATAACAAGTCACATACCACTATTCAAACTTGTACCAAACCTCAAAACACTTAAAACAACGCCGAAACACCAAATCACCCTCAGATTCAAG